TTGATATACGCTGCCGCCGCCGTACTGTGCGTCCTGACCAGCACTTGTTGCTGCCGCAGCGCCGGAGAAAAACGGCGGAGAGCAAGGAACACTGCCAACAGCTCTAGGCGATTGATGTGCCAATGCAGCTGGGCACCTACCCACAGGCCCGCAGCTGCATGCCCGCGACACACGGCTCCCCAGCCTGTGCTGGAAGCATCTGTCGAAACAACAACATGACTGGACGCCTGTCCCAGAGGCACACCGGCCTGCAGGAACGAGGGGTCGTTCCAGGGGCTGAGGGTGCGGCGACACAGCGCAGTAACAGAGACTCGGTGTGTGCCCGCATGCCATGCGTGTCTCGGAACTCGATCTTGAAGCCAGTGCTGAAGTGGTCTCATATGGAGCAATCCGAACGGCATGACGGCCGCAGCGGAAGCCATATGCCCCAGGAGCCTCTGAAAATATTTCAGTGGGACCACTAACTTGCTGTCGAGCTCCCTCAAACAGTTCAGCAGCAGGCGAGCGCGCTCTCCGGAGAGGCGCGCTACCATGGTGACCGAGTCCAGCTCCATCCCGAGAAAAGAGATCCTCTGCACCGGGGCGAGTTTGCTCTTTTCCCAGTTGACCTGCAACCCCAATAGGCGGAGATGCCGGAGCACCTCGTCTCTGTGCGCAGTCAATTGCTCCCGAGAGTGGGCTAAAATCAGCCAGTCGTCGAGATAATTGAGTACGCGGATGCCCGCAAGCCGCAGAGGCGCTAGGGCACCCTCCGCGAGTTTGGTGAAGACCCGCGGAGACAGAGAGAGCCCGAAGGGGAGGACCTTGTACTGCTATGCTCGACCTTCGAACACAAACCGCAGAAACTGACGGTGGCGTGGAAGAATGGAGACATGAAAATACGCGTCCTTCAGGTCTATGGCTGCAAACCAATCCTGAGGACGAACGCATCGGAGGATGCGCCTCTGCGTAAGCATTCTGAACGACAGCTTGTGAAGGCAGCGATTCAAAACGCGCAGATCTAGGATTGGCCGTGACCCACCGCTCTTTTTGGGTACGATGAAGTACGGGCTGTAAAACCCGCTCTCCATCTCGGCTGGAGGTACCGGCTCGATTGCACCCTTCGCCAGGAGGGCAGCAATCTCCTCTCGCAAGACAGGGGCGGACAGGGGATTGACCCTTGTGAAATACACGCCCGTAAACCTGGGAGGCTGTTTGGAGAACTGTAGTTTATAGCCGAGTCTGATCGTGCGTATGAGCCACCGCGAGGGGCTGGCCCGCGCTAACCAGGCAGGCAGAGCCCTCGCTAATGACATCATCGCAGCAATCATTGTGCTGATCCGGGGAGCGCGAGGGTCCCACAGAAGAGCTGGAGGAGAGCGTTTCGCTCTGGCTCCGCACCCTGACTCCTGCGCGGAGCGGGTGTGCTGATCCGGGGAGCGCGAGGGTCCCACAGAAGAGCTGGAGGAGAGCGATTCGCTCTGGCTCTGCACCCTGACTCCTGCGCGGAGCTGGTGTGCTGATCCGGGGAGCGCGAGGGTCCCACAGAAGAGCTGGAGGAGAGCGATTCGCTCTGGCTCCACACCCTGACTCCGGAGGGGGGGCTTGGGGGCTGGGAGAAGGGAGACCATCCCCCAGCGCCCGTCAGCCGCTGGCGGAGCATGCAGACCTTGCGAGCTGAGAGGCGGCGCGTCCCAGGCTGGCAGGGCCTGCAGTGCCCGTGAGCCACTGGCGAAGTGCACCGAACCTACGAGCTAGAGGGCTGAGCTCAAACTGGCAGATTTCGGGCTGTCACCTCCGGAGAAGTGGAAAAGTGCCCTTTCATTTCATGGCAGTAAAAAGTGCCGTTGGAAATGGCGCCCCGCCCTCCAGCGGGGAAAGAGCAAGTTCCCTCCTCTCCAGATGACCTGTCCCAGGGACGCTTCGCGGTCCGTTTGCCAGACTTAGCGGCGTTCTGGGCAGGGGGAGTGGCCTGCTTCCGAGGTGCTCGACGCGCTCGCTTCGCCAGAGGCGAGTGCGGGAGCGGTGCAGCTCTCGTAGGCGGGCGCCTTTGGCGAGGAGCAGGTATGGATGGCACGGCGGGCGGAGTGGGCTTACGGGGCCGCCGATTAGACATCACCCATCGGAATGCTCTCTCACTGCCTCGAATTCCTGGGTGAATTCGCAGACTGTGTCGCCGACCAGCTTGGGATATGGGCGAGTCAAGAAAGCGGACTTTGTCAACTTCGCGCATATCAACCAAGTTTTGTTAGAGGTGGGGCTTCTGGACCACTAGTGTGGACATCGTCCTCCCCAGAGCACACACAGCGGACTTAGTAGTCCGAAGAGCTTTGTCGGCTGCGGTGCGAAGCTCATAAGCCTGGGTTAGACCCACCCTCGTGCAGCTCGGCCAGCGCCTGCGCTTGGTAGCGCTGGACGGTGGCTATCGCATGCAAGGCGGATGCAGCCTGGTCCGTAGCTTTGTAAGCTCTAGCTCCGAGGGAGCCGAAAACTCACAGGCTTTGGATGGCAGACGAAGCAGACCCCGCCAAGAAGAGGCGCTGCGCGGATTAACCGCCATCGCACACTCAACCTGAGAAATCGCCACATACCCCCTGGCTGCTCCACCACCAAGAGTGGTGAGGGTGGAGGGACACGCAGCACGAGCAGAAAAAAGGTGCTCTTTAAGACCGCGTGAGCCTACTGTGCGTCGCCGGGAAGAAGGGAACGCCCCTCTAGTCGGTCCGGCCGCGGAGCTGGGGGATAAACCATCTCCAACCCACGGCCGAAGCAGCCCGGGAAAGCACGGCTAACACGTCCGTTTCAGTATCCGTTTTGACAGTGCTCACCTGCCCGAAGGGGGCAAGCGGGTCCGGATCATTGTCGGACAATGAAAGCCCACCCTCCGATGCCGCGGAGGACATCTGATCTCCAGTGACAGCGAGTGTGAGAGCTACCATCTGATTAGACGGATCACTCCCAGCGCCCGAAGCTTGGATGGAGCGATTGGAGGAGCGAGAGGTCCGCGAGCCCTTAGGCGGCGGATTATCTCTCGCTGGAACCCTCAGATCTGCCCGAGCGCCCGCTGCAGAACAGGAGGCGACTGGGGTGGCTCGCTCTCTCACGAGAGTTTGCCGCGATCTCAATTGCGCGACGGTCATGGCATCGTAGTGACGACATGAACCGCCCCGGAGCACCACATTAACATGCTGGACCCCCAAACATGTAATGCAGTGATCGTGCCCATCATCCCGAGCCAGGAAACCCCCGCAACCAGAAACACACAGTCGGAGCGCCGTCCTGAAAAGGACGTGCTGCACGACTGTGTTGCTCTTTTAGGATGCTTTGCAACAATACGCACCGCTCTGGAGGACCGGACCCAAAGGGACGCCAGGCAAGGGAGAAACCCAGCTCGACCATCTGCCGCTGCGTGGACTCGCTCTGGACCGGGAGACACTTGTTCACTCGAAGTGGCTGTAGACAGCAGGAGGAACCCTCATGAAGCTCGATCAGAAAAGTCTCTGAAGCAAAAAGGATAGTGTCTGCTGGCGCCAGGTGAGCTTATATACTCAGTTGATTGCTTATGCCGCTCACCTGCGCAGGCTTGCGCTGCCAATTCATTCTTAATTGGCCCGTTCAATACTCTTTCAGACGAGTAGCTTCTGAACCGAACCTCCCAATGCGTGGTTTTTAACAATCAAATCCACTTATAGTGCTGGAGTTCCCCCCGAAGGGGAACTTATGTTACATTGCTCACTTCAAAGTATCATAACAACAAAGTATCCTGGCAACTGGTTCTTTTCCAAAGGAACTGACAGACCGCTCGGGGTTAAGCCAGTCGTCTTTGAGCCATGCAATGCCAGCTATATGGGACGGGATCATCAGCATGTATAGCAGGTATATAAGGTGTCTATACCATGCAGTTGACTATACCATTTGCAGCAATCGCCAGTTTTACCAATGTAATCAAAGCGATCGACTGCATGCACATTGCCATAAAGGCACCATCTGAAGACGAGTTTGCATACGTGAATCGGAAACATGTCCATTCAATAAATGTGCAAATAATATGTGATGCTCAAATGCACAACAATATATTGCGGCAAGGTGGCCTTGGTCAACCCATGATTCATTTCTTCTCATAAACAGCATGGTATGAGGCTTTAGTTGGTAAGATGCATTTAAAGATATTATTCCAGCCTAGTTTTTTTATTTATTTATTTTGAGTGTAATTTTTCAACTGCATCTTAGGAGACCACGGTTATCCATTAAAGACGTGGCTGTTAACCCCCCTCAACAACCCAAAAACTGACCAAGAGAGCAGATACAATGATGTCCATTCTCGGACTCGGTCAGTTGTAGAAAGGGAGATTAGCACACATTAAAAATGTCAAGGAAAAGCACAGAGTTTTTTTAAATGGACTGACAATGACGTGGAGTTGCCGCTTCGAGTAACACGTGAATACAAAGTTGCAAAAGAGAGTGAAAATGTAGACTGGTAGACGTGCCAAAACAAATACGCCGATATATTGGACCGCTTTGAAGAACAGTATTCTGCTGATGACGCTGCTTACCCTCCCAGTAAAAACGACATTACTAAACTCAACGAAATTAAAGGCTATAAGGCTTAAGTACAGACACGCAGTAGACTCCGGAAAGAAAAGCGCGCATGGAAGAGTAGTATTGTTGTACTTTGAGCTGTGCGAACAGATTTGGGGTGGTTCTTTGGCCGTCACTATACCATCAGTTGCGGTATCGAAACAAACGAAATAAACAAGAGCACTGATGACACTTAACCACCATCAACCAGTCGCGATAGCCCTTCTCCTTCGCCGTGTAGTTCTACTCCTTCTCCTGTTACAGCAAGTCAAGACTCGGACACAGTTGGGACACCTACAGAGCTGCAAAACAGATGTGACAGGTTGAACGCAACACTTTCATCGTACAGACAAGAGAGGCTTAAACGTAAACTGTCAAATGAAGGTCAGCTCATTACACTTGCACAGGAAGATCTCAAGCTGAGGAGGCAGACATTTGAAAGGATGGAGGCTGCAAACAAAGATTTCTCAGAGAATATTGGCAGACTAACATCAAACATTGAAAAACTGACAAATTCAGTTACAGATCTGTTTGTGCTTATGAGACAGTCAATGGCCCAGAATCCGTTTGTTGCACCACCGCCACCATCACATAACAGCTCACACCATCAGCAGCATTATGGTTACCTCTATGCTCCAGTTGGTGCCTCTGCCCCATCTTCAGCAGCAGCACGACCGACACCACCACAACACCAAGATACTGCTCTTTTTTCGTACACTGAGTATATTTACTCTGATGACAGAGAGTAGTGAGGTCTTTAACCCTTAAAGTTCCTAAAATAAATCTTGTTTTGTATTTGGTTTAATTGCAATGGCTTGTTTAAGTTTATCGTAGCCATGGTTACAAAGTTGACCCTTTGTTTCAGTTGTTTATTCTTTTATTGCAATGCACATTTTTCCTAAAGTTTACAGTAAAGTAACTGTGTTATTTGCTTTTGACATTTTGAGGTTCTGCAGTAATGTTTACGATGCCTGAACTGTATGCTTGTAATGCTTGTCACTGTACTTTCTGACAGTGGACTTTTCAGCTGATAATTTTAGCAATAACAAATCAAGAAGTAATTTTTTTTTTTGTTGCTTTACAGAAACTTTAATGAATACAACCTCGGTTTCAATGTTGAATGCATTATTCAGGAGCATAAGCACTTTAGATATATTTTTGTTCACAGAAAAGTGTATATGATACAATTTAAAAGGAAAAATTAATCACACAAGCTCAATGTCATAAAAGCTAGATTTTGATAATTATTAATTGGTTGTGAACGTTTAATTGTAGTATTTGCAATAAAAAACATATATATAAAAAAAAACTTAAGAGACTCAGTGCAGTGCTTTAACACAAATGGTAAATATGACTGTTACAATTAAGCACTTCAGACTCTTCATGTTCACAGTGTACGCTATCACAACTTCAAAATAAAAAAAAGCTGATACAATTGAACTAAATATTGTAAACCCCATAAATTAAAGCATATTTGACAATGGCAATGCAACAGTTGGTTGATGAAATGATACAGAATATACTGAATTGCTTCCAAAAAATGAAGAGCATCATTCACGGGTCAAAAAACATGGTAAGCACACTTCTTACTCGTCTTTCCTCAGTTTCGTTGCATTCTGTTCTGAAATTATTGTGCTGTGTTGGTGGCTGGAAGTCTCTGTCATGCTGGACAGCTGCAGCAACAGTTTGGTCTGGAACGATTTCTCTGTTAGCTTCACAAAAGTTATGCAAAACAAAACAAGCATTGAAAATGAACAGAAGATCGTCCAGATTTATGTCCATTGCCCTCCGTAATGCTCCGAATCGTGCTTTTAGCAGGCCAAATGCGCATTCAATCACCATTCTGCACTTGCACAATGACAACCCAAAGTACTGTTCTTAAGGAGTATTTCCTCCACTCGCATACTCTTTCATGACATAGGGAAGCAGGGGGTATGTCGGGTCTCCTAGAAGAAAGACAGGAATAGGATCTTCTCCTTCCACGATTACTTTTGGACAAGAAGGAATTTTTCCATCTTTCAAGTAAGCATTGATTTTTGAATTTGCAAATATGCGCACATCGTGTACGCTGCCAGGCCATTTAATAACGACGTCCATGAAATAGTATTTGTAATCACAGATAGCCTGGATATTTAGCGAGAAGCTGTTTTTTCTGTTGATGTAATCAGTGGAGTGGGCGGAAGGCTGTTTTATTTCTACAGAATATGCATGCAGTCAATGGCTCCAAGACACTGCGGCATCCCATGTGTTTGATAAAAGTTTGTGACAAGCCTCTGCACCTCAGTTTCTGTAAATGGAAGTGAAACATACTAGGGACTCAGATGAAATGTGTGCTCTGCACACTTCTTTGATTATTTTGGACACAGTTTGTCTGGCTAATCCAAACGCATTCGCTGTTTTCCGCAGCCTGCCTTCAACGCCTAAATAGTACAAAGTACATGCAACCTTTGTAACAACGTCCACCGGTGATCTTATTCGCATTGGCTGGCAATGTGAGGTCGTAACAGCTCACTCAGACGATACAAAGAATCCCGAGACATTCTGAAGTTCTCGCGCCACTCCTCAGGCACAACAAGTCCACACACAAAGTTATACCACCAAACACGACATCGTCCAGGTCTCACCCAAAATCTCTGCTCCATGTACGGTCTGAACCATAACTGTGGTCTAGACCTGCCGCTAAATAACAGCTGAGTACACGTTCCATGTCCTTTGATAAAAACCAAACTGGAGCATATACAAACTTACATTAATTTTTAACAATGCTGTCAAAACTGAGAGCATCCAAAACAAATGCTGCAAGATGTGGTCCACCATTTTTGCTGAATTAATAACATGACTGTCACATGACAAAAAACGCATCATCGTTTTCAAAAGACTCCGTTTTCACAGTCTACACTACGACACAAAAATGGCGTTTTCAAATTTATCCACTTTGGAGAGCGTTTTCAAAAAGATACGGTTTTGTTTCCCAAAAACGCGCCTCAGTGTGGATGGAAGGGCAAAATGGAGACAAAAATATGCGTTTTCAAATGAAAACGCATTAGTGTGGACATAAATAGTTTGCTAATCTTGATGGTCAATGGCTTTCCTTCCCTTCACCCAGCCTACAAAGTCATCTGTGTGTATTTGTGGAGAAAGTGGATCAATGTCTTTTTATCATTCATTTGTTGACATGCACCCTTTACACCATAATAATTATTTGCATAATAATATATGTCTTCTATTAGGTAATCAAATTATTTTATATAAAATAATATTTGCTGATTGGTCAGCTGTGATGACCTTTCCATTAGACCCTTTACCTTATCAATGTCAATGACATGTTACTCAATTTATTTTTAAGATTTTAGTTTTTTTTCTACACTAAATATAGCTTTGTGTTTGTAGTAAAACTGTGGTTATACAAATTATGTTGATACAGTAAAAATGTTACACTATTAGTACAGTAAAGCCAAAGTTAATTATCATAATACATCCATAAACAAAATTCAATTAAATAATAATGGGATTCGACTGAAACTGATTACGGATATAACAAGTGCATACTGTACTATATTCTGTCTTCTCATCATTAAGGTTAAATGCTGATAGCCTGCGACCATTAATTGACTGCTGATTTGAGGGCTTTCTTATGAGGTTAATAAATTTATTTTGTTTTACTTCTTACATACATATATTTTAAAGGTAAGTGTGCAGCTATACACAATAGTCAAAGCATTGGAGTTCTGAAAATGGCATTAGATCTTAAATAATTGCACTCTTTCTTCTGAAGGAAAATGGGACAAGCCTTTTAACCGAGAAACAACCAGTGAGAGTACATTTCATATAGATGATAAGACCACCGTTCCAGTGCAAATGCTGCACCAGTATGAACGTCTCAAAGTCTATTATGATGCTGAATTGTCCACTAAAGTCCTCTGTCTTGACTACAACGATTCCTTCTCCATGTTTCTGGCTGTCCCAGATGTTCACATGGGGCGAAAAACCATCAAAGATCTAGAGATGACAGTCTCTAGACAGCACATTGAAAAGTGGAGGAGAAGTGTATCTGAACGGTTGGTTGTCTACATCTAAACTAAAATCCAAAGTTACATCCCAATTGTTTCATTAAAGTGTTTTAAGTGCGTTCATCATATGGATTACCCAGTCATCTTTAACCACAGAGACTTCTTTTTTTTTCCTGCAGAAAAGTTGACATCTACGTCCCCAAGCTTTCTCTGAAAACATCATACTCCCTGAAGGATATTTTGAAGGGAATGGGAATGGCTGATATGTTTTCAGATAAAGCCGACTTTACAGGAGTTTCAGAGGAAAAGATCTTCGTTTCAAAAGTAAAGTTTCAAATCCATCTCTATTCAAAGTCAAAAAGTCAAGTCAACAGTGATTTGCAGTTCTGAAAAGATTATATACAGTATCTAAACTGATGTTTAACCTTCGATTAAAAAAACAAAAAACATTTTAGTTTAGGTTACAATTCCTGTTATTAACAAACCAATAACTAACACTACCAGCTTAACAAACTTATCTAAACTAAATCTAACAAACTAAATCAACTGTTTAATAATAGTTAGTAAAAGCTGTGTTTAGATTTGGGTAAGATTAGGAATGCAGAATAGGATTATACTTTATAACTACTAATGAACAGGTTATGTCTTAATAGAAGGTAATAAGCCAGTAGTTAATAGCAGGAATCGTGACCTACTGTAACTGAAGTGTTACTGAAATATGAGCAGCATTTATATTCAATTTTTACATTGAATCTAATCAAGTTAAATATTTGGTCAAATCAAAATAAGACTCTGTGAATCAGAACTGAATCCATTCAGGCAGCACTTTTGTAGTTTTTGAAGATTTGAGGACAGGAATTGTTTTGACAGGGATTGTTTTAAATATACAATTAAAAGACTTTAAGAGGAGTTTGTTTGATTTACTTTCAGGTTTTGCATAAAGCCACTCTGGATATCGATGAGAAAGGAACCACCGCAGCAGCAGTGACAACAGTTCATTTAAGATTTATGTCCTACAGCCCAATGAGTGATTTGAGATTTGATCGCCCATTCATGATCTTTATCACGGATCAAACAAATTACAACATCCTTTTCTTTGGGAAAGTGGTCAACCCAAATGAAAAACTATGATGTGGCCCACAACATGTTAAAACAATGTTAGCCAGTAGGTGGAAACCATTTAACAACTGCTGTGCCATATATTGCTGACTTCCTGCAGAGTTCAGTTCTTATTGTTATAAAACAGCTGGATCAGCTAATGTAGGTGATGGTGGGAAATAAAATGCAAAAAACTGGACTTGCAACACAGGGTACCATGCAGGCTTTGTGAGATTTATTTCATCTTACCCACCAAATAAAAACTTATAATGATTTTATTTCATTCATTTACTACTGATTTGATTACTTTCATACATCACATATTTTGTGTTTAATAATTCAACTCTGGATGGAAAATAAGGAGCTAAAATAACAATACAAAAACACATTGCTGGTCTTCACTCACAGTAGAAGAACACAAAGCCTTTTTCTTAAAGGTGCAATATGTAAGTTTGACCCAGTAGTTGAACTAGGATATTGCATTCCTGGATCAAAGTACATGGAAACGCAGGTTGCCAGATTGAGGACCAACAGGAGAGAGTCTGACGATCAAGCCTAAAGGTTGATTAAAACCGTGATCTAAATAAAAGCAGCGGCATATAAAAGAAGAAATATTTCCCATATTAGTTTTTGTTCTAACCAACTTCTTGAATTGATATATTAGAGACGGCTTCTATTTCCTGCAGCTGAACAACAGAAAACTGACAATGATCACCTCAGATACACCTCATGTGCTTTATTTAGTGTTAAATGCTAAGAGTTTTGTGAGTTTGAATGTCATTTTAAATGACATTTGTTGCAGCAGCAGAGTATTTCACCTCAGATCTTGAAAATAAAATAAAGGTGACTCAAAACCACAACATATCAGTGATTCAGCATGTACATTTAATAATGTTAAAGAGCTTTAATATGTATTAAATATAGATTATAATCCTTACCCTTTCGTGAGTGAGTGTATATTATGTGCTTCTGAATGGCTGCATTTAAATTTTAAAGTCATGTTTCGCCTGATGCAAACAGCCAAATTGCTTATCACTGCAAATCTCGTCACGTAGCTTGTTGTTGGGACACGGGGTTACAATGTTATTTGTAGAGCAGGTTTAATTCTCTACACTCTGAGTTTCTGTCAGTCTTTTTCCCTTTTTTAAAGATGAAGCGGTATTTCTCGCCTTAGCCTTACGTTTCCATCCACCTATTTTTATGTTCATTTTGGATTCGCGCATAAAAAAAGTTAATGGAAATGTCGTGATGCACATAACTTTTGAAAAAAAGCACAAAAACCTATGCGCATAACTGAGTAGGATAAACTTGTTATTCGATAAGAAAAGATGCTCATAAACTGCGATAGAAACACTTTTACTGAACAAATCCCAGTATGTGCATTTAAAAGGTCTGTGGGGGAAACCGGAGCACCTGAAAAAATCCACGCAGACACGTGGAGAACATGCAAGCTACACACAGAAATGCCAACTGACCCAACTGGGATTCAAGCCAGCAACCTTCTTGCTGTGAGGCAACAGTGCTAACCACTGAGCCACACATCAGAAAGTAACCATAAAGTAACCAGTAACCACAATCAGAAAGTAACAATAACACTATTTTAATTTTCCAACAGCTTTCACCAGAACAAATCCTCTTTGGTGTTAAAAACAAACTGGTGTATTAAGCTGCCATATAACAGTCAAATATCTTTATATAAATCATTTGCTAATCTTGAAGGTCAATGGCTTTCCTTCACTTCACCCAGCCCACACAGTCATCTGTGTGTATTTGTGGAGAAAGTGGATCAATGTCTTTTTATCATTGATTTGTTGACATGCACCCTTTACACCATAATAATTATTTGCATAATAATATAGGTCTTCTATTAGGTAATCAAATTATTTTACATAAAATAATATTTGCTGATTGGTCAGCTGTGATGACCTTTCCATTAGACCCTTTACCTTATCAACGTCAATGACATGTTACTCAATTTATTTTTAAGATTTTAGGTTTTTTTCTACAGTAAATATAGCTTTCTGTTTGTAGTAAAACTGTGGTTATACAAATTATATTGATTCACTAAAATTGTTACACTTTTAGTACAGTAAAGCCAAAGTTAATTATCATAATACATCCATAAACACAATTCAATTAAATAATAATGGGATTCGACTGAAAATGATTACGGATATAACAAGTACATACTGTACTGTATTCTGTCTTCTCCTCATTAAGGTTAAATGCCGATAGCCTGTGACCATTTATTGACTGCTGATTTGAGGGCTTTCTTATGAGGTTAATAATTTATTTTATTTCTAAAGTTAAATAAAAAGTAAACAGACTAAAGGTTGTTTTAGGATCAAACAAACTGTAAGAGCACAGGCTTTATAACTCAGTCTAGTTTAAGAGGAACAACAGCTGTCTGAAGAGGTAGGACATTTCTGTGCTTGAGATCTGAATTATTGAATAATTGTTTTGTTTGATAAATAAATGTAAATCTGATCTTTTAGATGAACATTAGAAGACAGAAAATACAGCCGCATGATGAGTTGTTCATCGTCACTGATGCGTCAAACTGTCATGAACATGTCCTCATTGTCACCAACATGTTGCTAAACTCTGTTCAATTTCTTCTCAGAGACTTCAAGACCATGGAACAGAACGGTGTATTTTTGTGGATTTGTGGTTTTGCAATAGTTGTCTGTGGGAATCAAGAGACTTTACAACAACCTCCCATTAGCGCTAAACTCCCGTCATTGATAAACATGAACAACGATTTTGCTTTTAACCTGTACAAGAGGCTTATAGAATCGCCTGACTATCAGTCCAAAAACATCTTCTTCTCTCCGTTCAGTGTGTCTATGGCCCTTTCTGAGCTTTCTTTAGGAGCCGGTGGAGACACCAAACAGCAGCTTCTCAGTGGCATTGGCTACAACAGCACAATCTTCAGCACTGAGGAAATGCACCAGCTGTTTCACAGTCTCCTGGAAGACATCGGCAATAGGACAGGAGTGGACATCGATGTCGGCACTGCTCTTTATGCAAGCGACCGATTTAAGCCTCATTCTAAGTTTCTGGAGGACATGAAGGAGTTTTACCACTCTGATGGCTTCACTGTAGATTTCAGGGTCAAAGAAACAGTCGATCAAATTAATAAATATGTGGAGGAAAAAACACATGGAAAAATCAATCAGGCTGTCGATGATCTGGAAGAGGATACTTTTATGTTACTTCTCACATACATATATTTTAAAGGTAAGTGTGAAGCTTTACACAATAGTCAAAGTATTGGAGTTCTGGAAATGGCATTAGATCTTCTTAAATAATTGCACTCTTTCTTCTGAAGGAAAATGGGACAAGCCTTTTAACCCAGAAACAACCAGCGAGAGTACATTTCATATAGATGATAAGACCACCGTTCCAGTGCAAATGATGCACCAGTATGAACGTTTCAAAGTCTATTATGATGCTGAATTGTCCACTAAAGTCCTCTGTCTTAACTACGATTCCTTCTCCATGTTTCTGGCTGTCCCAGATGTTCACATGGGGCGAAAAACCATCAAAGATCTAGAGATGACAGTCTCTAGACAGCACATTGAAAAGTGGAGGAGAAGTGTATCTGAACGGTTGGTTGTCTACATCTAAACTAAAATCCAAAGTTACATCCCAATTGTTTCATTAAAGTGTTTTAAGTGCGTTCATCATATGGATTACCCAGTCATCTTTAACCACAGTGACTTCTTTTTTTTTCCTGCAGAAAAGTTGACATCTACGTCCCCAAGCTTTCTCTGAAAACATCATACTCCCTGAAGGATATTTTGAAGGGAATGGGAATGGCTGATATGTTTTCAGATAAAGCCGACTTTACAGGAGTTTCAGAGGAAAAGATCTTCGTTTCAAAAGTAAAGTTTCAAATCCATCTCTATTCAAAGTCAAAAAGTCAAGTCAACAGTGATTTGCAGTTCTGAAGAGATTATATACAGTATCTAAACTGATGTTTAACCTTCGATTAAAAAAAAAAAAAACATTTTAGTTTAGGTCACAATTCCTGTTATTAACAAACCAATAACTAACACTACCAGCTTAACAAACTTATCTAAACTAAATCTAACAAACTAAATCAACTGTTTAATAATAGTTAGTAAATGCTGTGTTTAGATTTGGGTAAGATTAGGAATGCAGAATAGGATTATACTTTATAACTACTAATGAACAGGTTATGTCTTAATAGAAGGTAATAAGCCAGTAGTTAATAGCAGGAATCGTGACCTACTGTAACTGAAGTGTTACTGAAATATGAGCAGCATTTATATTCAATTTTTACATTGAATCTAATCAAGTTAAATATTTGGTCAAATCAAAATAAGACTCTGTGAATCAGAACTGAATCCATTCAGGCAGCACTTTTGTAGTTTTTGAAGATTTGAGGACAGGAATTGTTTTGACAGGGATTGTTTTAAATATACAATTAAAAGACTTTAAGAGGAGTTTGTTTGATTTACTTTCAGGTTTTGCATAAAGCCACTCTGGATATCGATGAGAAAGGAACCACCGCAGCAGCAGTGACAACAGTTTATGCAAGCGTTATGTCCTACAGCCCAATGAGTGATTTGAGATTTGATCGCCCATTCATGATCTTTATCACGGATCATACAAATGACAACATCCTTTTCTTTGGGAAAGTGGTCAACCCAAATGAAAAACTATGATGTGGCCCACAACATGTTAAAACAATGTTAGCCAGTAGGTGGAAACCATTTAACAATTGCAGTGCCATATATTGCAGACTACTAGAGTCGCCTTCCTGCAGAGTTCAGTTCTTATTGTTATAAAACAGCTGGATCAGCTAATGTAGGTGATGGCTGGAAATAAAATGCAAAAAACTGTACTTGCAACACAGGGTACCATGCAGGCTTTGTGAGATTTATTTCATCTTACCCACCAAATGACAACTGTTATATGATTTTATTTCATTTATTTACTAAAGATTTGATTACTTTCATACATCACACATTTTGTGTTTAATAATTCAACTCTGGATGGAAAATAAGGAGCTAAAATAACAATACAAAAACACATTGCTGGTCTTCACTCACAGTAGAAGAACACAAAACCTTTTTCTTAAAGGTGCAGTATGTAAGTTTGACCCAGTAGTTGAACTAGGATATTGCATTCCTGGATCAAAGTACATGGAAACGCAGGTTGCCAGATTGAGGACCAACAGGAGA